TTGGGGCCTGATTATCTGATCTACAGGACCGTGCCCAGAAACAGGAAAGTATGTAAATTTAACACTCTCCAATCAAATAGATGGCAAAGGTTTGCAAAAAGTAAACTGCCCTATGTATGAGCTACATACTTATGATTCTCTCATCAGGTTGTCAAAGACATTCAGACAACTGCTGATGAAGGCTATCGCTGGGGGAAACTAATGCATATGTAGGTTACTCTACAGGGCAATGGCAGTGTGTTCTTTCTTAACTTGAACTGAGAATTCATAATTGAAACCTAAGGCTGAGCATAGGGATCAGCAGTAGAGTTGCTTCTAAATTTAGGTATGCCTTGAGAACTCCCTTTTGATATTCTTAGCATGGCACACAATTGACCTGGAAGTCATCTGGAAACGTCCTGTTGATAGGAAGTCCTGAGCAAATCATATTTGTGTTATTAAGATACGTGATTATGATACGTTCCCTGGATTGCACCTGTGGTGCTTGAGGGCCACACTATGCACTAAAAATACTCAATTCTTTTTTTAAAAAATCTTCCGGTTTATGAATGTAGGATATTGTGCTTCTGTACTCATGATTCAAAATGCAGAAATGGTCCAATATTGCTGAACAATATCTTGCCTGCATAGTCATCAGGAAAAAAAATGATGTGAAGCTTTACATAACAAAGGGCAGCCTGAATGTTGACAACACCAATGCCAGCAGTCACAAAGGACTACAGGATACCCTCTTGTGCTCACTACCATTCACAAAGCGACACCAAGCAAGGGAAAATCCCAGAAACGGACTTCTTTTTTTTAAATCAGTTCTCATCCAAACACCAAGCAGTTGTCAGGGCTGTTTTCGTCATGAGGTTTGAAAGGCCTTTTTAAGTAGATCAATGTTTCAGCCTCTGCAGCCAGTTCCTTCTTCAAAAAAAGCTGGTGGGGCCAATCATTCTCTTTCAAGATAAGCAAGATTAGTGTTTCTTTTTTCCCCCCAGTTTATTTGATCTGTTTTAAATTGGGGGATGTTTACGGTTGCTGTTACTGCATGGAAGGCAAAAGAGTTTTACATTTAAAAATTCATAGATCAACTATAGTTTGCCCGAACTCCCCCAAATGTGGCACAGAACAAATCTTCTGTTGATCTAAAAATTTTTTTTAAAGTTATAATGTTTTGTTTGGGATGCCCTTATATTTAGAATTGCCTTGAAGAATGTTGATTTGCCAGCACAATAACATCATTGTACTCTCATATCATTACAAAGTGAAATAACACTGGTATTCCATAGATACTGACAAATCTTAATGTCTCATAATGAGACTTTTATATGAAGCCCATGGTTAATGAACTCGGAACAATGGTAAGGTCCCATGGCAGGAGATCCTAACATGAAAAGGAGTCCAAAATGGGTGGAAGTTTCTTAAAAAGGAAATTCCAAAAGCACAACTACAAACAATTCCAACAAGAAAAAATAGATGGAAGATGGGGGGGGGGGAGACCAATGTTGCTTCACACAAAGCTCAGAGAGGACCTGAAAATAAAGAAGGGCACATGTAGGAAGTGGAACGAAGGCTAAGCCACAAAGGAAGAGTATAGATAAATAGCAAAGAATTTTGAAATTGGTGTTAGGAAGGCAAAAGTTGAGAATAAGCTGAGTTTAGCAAGAGATGTTAACAGTAACAACAAAAAGCATTCTTCAGGTATATCCATAGGAAAAGACAACTACTAAATGGGGATGGAAAAATGATAACAGATGAACAAGAAAAGGTAGAATTGTATTCTCCAGGGCTTTCATGGCCAGGATCTGATGGTTATTGTAGGTTTTTCAGGCTGTTTGGCTGTGCTCGTAAGGATTTTCTTCTTAGTGTTTCACCAGTCTCTGTGGCCAGCATCTTCAGAGGACAGAAGTCAGAACTCTATCTGTGCTCTGGTGCAGTTTGAGGGATAGTTGAGTATTTATAGCTGTGGGATCAGCTTTTTGTTCTATTCAGGAGATTGGGTGATTATGGTGATCAGCGCGTTTTTTGTTGTGGATGTATTGTTGTGATAAAAGGGAGAGATGATCTGTAACTGTGATTGATGGGTGTTGTTAGCTAGTCTTTTGTGTGCAGCGATCACCATTTTTCAGTGCTTGGAGTCAGGCTTTGTTGAGTTTTAGACTTTCTTCTTTTTTGTTGAAGCTCTGCTGATGTTTGTGGATTTCAATGGCTTCCCTGTGCAGTCTAACATAATGATTGCTGGTGTTGTCCAGTACTTCAGCATTTTGAAATAGAATTTCATGTCCAGATTGTTTCAGGGTATGTTGGCTCCCAGTACAGAAAAATACAGCCTGCAAAAGGTCAACGAACTCTAACCAGCCACAAGGACCGGTGATCACTGCACACAAAAGACCAGCTAATGACACCTATCAATCACAGTGACAGATAATCCCTCCCCCTTATCACAACAATACACCCACAACAAAAAAACATGCTGATCACCATAATCACCCAATCTCCTGAAAATAATCAAAAGCTGATCCCACAGCTATAAATACTCAACTATCCCACAAACTGCACCAGAGCACAGACAGAGTTTTGACTCCTGTCCTCTGAAGATGCCAGCCACAGAGACTGGCAAAACGTTAGGAAGAAAAACCTTCAGAACATGGGCAAACAGCCCAAAAAACCTACAACCAAAAGGTAGAATTGCTCAAATTCTATTTTAACTCAGTTTATTGCCAAAAAAAACAACGACCCTCCAGGCAAATGTGAAGTATAAGTGGAGGAGATCTTGAGATTGATAAACAAATAGTCAAGGATCACCTTATTAGAGCACCTTATAAAGAGCCTGAAAAACCTACAACAACCAACAACCACCTTATTACTTTGAATGAGTTCAGAACTCCATGGCTGGATAAACTGCATCCAAGAATACTGAGCAAATTGGCTGAAGAACACTCAGCCCCACTCTCTCTTATTTTCTTGAAATAATGGAAAATGCGTGTGGTGCCAGATGGTTGGAGGAAGGCTAATGTTGCCTCTATCTTCAAAAACACCAAAAAGGAAGAACCCAGAACTACAGACCAGTCAGCTTTGCACCACTCCCAGGGAAAATTCCGGAACAGATTAAAAACCAGTCATTCTGCAAGCACCTTGAAATCAATGCAATAATAACTGGAAACCAACATGGATTTGTCAAAAACAAATCCTGCCTGACTAATTTTATCTAATTTTTTAATCAGGTAACCTCCCTGGTAGATGGGGAAATGCTGTAGGTGTAATATATTTAGCAAAGCTTTTGACAAGGTGCCCCATGATATTCTGCAAGCTAACTAGGTATGGGCTGAATAGAACAGAAAGCTCAGTCCTGGGCCCAGTGCTCGTCAACATTTTTACTAATGACTTGAATAAGAGGGTGCTGGGAATACTTACCAAATTTGCAGATGACACAAAATTGGGTGGAAGACAGAAAAAAAACTCAAAAAATCTCAATAGGCTCAAGCACCGTGCTGAAAACAACAGAATGAAATTTAACAGGAATAAATGCAAAGTTCTACAACTAGGGGGAAAACCCAAATGCAAACTTACAAGATGGGGGATGCTTGGCTCAGTAATATTACAAGTGAGAAGGATCTTGGAATTGTTGTAGATCAAAAACTGAATATGAGCCAACACTGTGATGTGGCTGCAAAAATGCCAATGCTATTCAAAGCTGCATTAACAGAAGTACAGTCTCCAGATCTCATGAAGTACCAATTATCCTCTATTCGGCACTGATTAGGCCTTATATAGAGTACTGTGTCCAGTTCTGGACACCACACTTTAAGTAGGATGACAACAAACTGGATTAAGTTCAGAGGAGGGCAACAAGAATCATCAAGGGACTGAAAACCAAGCCTCAGAAGGAAATACTGAAAGAAGTGAGTATATTTAACCTTAAGGAGAAAAAAAAACTGAGGGGAGGTATGATATCACTTTTCAAATACTTGAATATTGCTATATAGAGGATCTGTTCTTCATCATACCAGAGTGCAGGACACATAAAAATGGGATCATGTTTCAGGAAGCCAGATTTTGATCAAATGTCAAGAAAAACGTTCTAACTGTTAAAGCAGTGCACCAATGAAATGAATTACCTTGGGAGTTGGTGAGTGCTGCAACACTATTGGTGTTCAAGAGAACATTTGAAAACCATCTATCAGATCTACTTCAGATTGTATTTCTGCACTAAGTAAGGGGTTGGACTGGATGGCCTTATAGGCCTCTTCCAACACCTTTATTCTTTGATTCTATTATATCATAAAGACCAATCTCTAACCCAAAACAAGACAAATCAATCTGCAAACCATAGAAGGTATGGAAATATATTGCTATGACAATCAGATGCTTTCAGCACTCAAGGAATTCTTCTAGTGATGTCATCCTTGTATTGTATAGTTTTACTCTATGACTCTACAATTGGACTGAGCTGAATTTTCATGGATCTCTTTGACATAGTAGTACCTTCTGAAAACAATGTGGAAAACAGACACACAGAAGAAGGCAGTGTGTGTATTTGTATAGGGAAAGTATTTTTGTGAGGTAAAGCAAACAAACAGATCAAATTGCCTTGGCCTTCATTCTAGTCTGAATGTGGCAGAAGCAGCAAGGGACCTAAGAGATGAGGATTTTTATTCAATTATCTTTCTCATTGATGAGACTTCCCATTCTCTGCCAAAGAACCTCCCAAGTTAACAAGAAATGACTGCATGCAAGGCATTCCCATCTGGCTTCTTAATGGACAGTGTTTGCCCATTAGTACCCATTGCCAATCTCCCTGTGGATGGTAACCAGGCAACTATTTTATGACACAATTGCTTTCTGATTCCAAGAAAAATGTGAAGTAGCCCTTTTAGTGTCCTGATAAGGTGACTTGTTTTGTTACATTATGTTGGTAGGAAATATATACCCTGCCTTACCCACAAATACTATTCTGGATGCTGGGTACAGTTTATAACCACAGATGGTAGATACAAAGCAGTGCAGCTGTCCAAGAACAGCTCAATAGCCCTGAGGCAGCTGTAATGAGAATTTGGTATATAGAGTGTACTCTATATGTGCTGAATGGCCAGTCTGATTCCTTCTTTTTTTTACTTATTTGTTCCCATTTATGTTACAATTATTATAAATTATTATCATTTGCTAAGTGTTAACCAGTTTACCAAGTGCTGAGGGGTTGATTGGTTTGTTTGTTTTTGGGTCATCTTGAACTCATGCTGAATAGACAACACTAATTAATTATGTGTTTCTTTATCCCCTCTCTCATCCTCTCTTTTCTTTTCACAGTGTGATGACAGATCTTCTGTGAAAAAAATTTCAATGGCTTCACCAAGAGCTCCTCAGATTTAACATTACAGCTGTTGCTAGTCTTATGGACCTCTCGTTAAGCATGCTAAATAAGCATTCTTGCAAATTTAATTCATTCTTGAGATAACCCTTTGACTGTGTGAATCATGAGAACCTACATGTGCCTTGAGGTAAAATATATTTAGAAATGTGACTTTTGTATAGACAAACGGAGTATTTAAATATTAATTTTCATGTAATGACTATTTGTGATGGATATGGATTGCAACCTACTTTAGTGTAGTAAGTGACAACTCGGGTAGGCATATCAATGGAATGTACAGAGAAGTTCGTTCATCAAATCCCAACTGATTTAATGGTCCTCTAGTGTAATTTACTATGTTAAGCAGCAGGATTTCTGTCAGTATATCATGGTGCCATTCTGTGACTTGGAGTTGGATAAGCAGAACCAGGACTTAGGAACCAGTCATTCATGGCAGTTGCTAACTGTTCTGAGAGACATGGCAAACAACACAGAGAGCTCCAAATTGTATTTTTAAAAAATGATCTAATTAAAAGGGGGAAAGCAAGGGAAAGAACAAATGGAAAAAGATTGCAGTATATAAAAGATTAGCAATTTTTTTTCAGAGCGAGCTTTCATGAATCACAGTGTACCTCCACGGACACAAGGAGTGTCCATGCTACATTAGAAGTTGGAGGCATGTAAGTATATGTCGTGGTTGGTGGCTTTCTGATATACCATATTGCTGATGTGTCCTTTGATTGGTCACTGTTACATACAGCACTGATGGTACCTGTCTGTCATGGGTTTGGAGGGAAAGTTCCATCCTAGGGGAGTGGAAGGCGGGACATCAGGGGGAGGAGCTGTACTGTATATATTTTGGGAGCTTGTTAGAAGAAGCTGGAGTGGGAGTCTGTGTGTCAGACTGAGTACAACTGTGTGTCAGTTAGTACATACCTGATAGGTTCAGGTTTCTTTATAGGTAGCCAGAACTGATAGGTTCAGGGTCTGTGCTTTACTTTAAAGTGTTCTGTGTGAACTAAACTGTTATATGTATATGTTTGGGACTTTGCCACGTTACAGTATATTATTTACTTGATCTTTTTATTTACCCTGTTTGTTATTTAAATAAACCTTGTTCTTTTATTTGTTAAAAATCCATTCCTGGTCTGTGTGACTCCTTATAGGGAATGGTTGGTGGCAGCTTAGTTAAAGGGTGGTATACTCCAGTAGGTCTGGGGTTGTCACAGTCACATCAGTGGTATCCAGAAAACATCTTTGTTTGTAGTTGTCCAGGCCCAGATTGATGGAAAGATGAAAGTTGTTAAAAGTTTTGGTGGAATTACTCTAGTAGTTAAGATGCCATCAATGTATCTCAGAGGGAGAGGCTTCTGTATACAAAAACTGAGGAAGCATTGTTCCAGGCCAGCCATGTATATATCTCGATACTGTGGGGCCATATGTGTGCCTTTAGCTGCACCACTGATCTGAAGAGAAATACTGCTACCACAGGTGAACTAGTTATGTGTGAGTACAAAGTCATAGTTTAGGAGCCAGATTTGTAATGGTCCTATTTGGAACTGTATCTTCAACGGCTTGTAGACCTTTTTGTGAGAAAATTTATTTAAATGCACATGTACATTTCCTTTATATGTATCATGGACTGGATGGTGTCATTTGGGAAGTTGAAGATGAACCCTGGTTCCCTTAAGAACTTGGTTGTTGTATCTCTTTAGGTATCTGGGGTGTGTGTGTGTGTGTGTGTTTTGCAGGCATATAGTTTCAGGAAAAAGTCAGTTGATCCAGTTACCCCAATGGTGATACCAATACTCAATACAATTGGCTGTCCAGTCTTGCCCAGTTTGTGGATTTTGGGTAGCAGATAGGAGAAGCCTGGTTAAGGATCTTGTAGTGTATCTGTCAGGATTTGCTCACAGATGTCTCCAAGGAATTATTTCTTTAAGTCCTGTAGCTCCTTCTGCAGTTCGGTCTGTGACTGTGAGTGTTTAGAATTTGATGGGAAATTGTTTGTATATGACAACAGTCCCTTCTTTGTCTGCCTCTTTGATGATGATATTGGGATTGTTTCTGAGACTATGGGTGGATTTGCACTCGATCTGACTAAGACTGCATCTTTTGTTTATTATCTCAGCCTGTGATGGTGGGGAAAAGCACCCAAAACAGAAATCCAGAAGCTTTCACCTTCAGAAGGATTCTATGTAGATTTCATCTTTCTACAGTGATGTGTGGTGGGGAGTTGTGTGTTTGTATATTGTTCCTCAGGAGCTGGGATGGTGCTTTGTATACTGTTGGGGTGATTGTTCTTTTAGTCCTTGAAGTATTTTCTGAGCCTAACATGATGGAAAAAGGCTTTTAGGTCACCACTGACTTTGTTTGTGTGTGTGTGTGTGTGTGTGTGTGTGTGTGTGTGAGAGAGAGAGAGAGAGAGAGAGAGAGAGAGAGAGAGAGAAAGAGAGTGAAGTGGGTCTTTATTACTTTGCTGCTTCACAGATTTCTCTCCATGGGATTATAAATTAGCAGTGAAAAGAGTTGTGTATGTGTGCACATGTGTACATATATGCACATTTATGTGCATGCATGAACAAGTGTCAGATTATTTGGAGGGGGGGAATACCCAAAAGGAAAATAATGAAAACATCCTCCCTGCAAAGCCAAAGTTTCCACTCAAGAAACTGCAGGGAGATTATCTGAAACATTTCCTTGTAACATGTGCTGTAGTTTGGTTTGCCCCTAAGAGGACTAGCAATGGAGCAATCTGGCCTCCACTAAGCAAAGCATACTTTGTCTGCATTTGTGATAACAGCAGCTCTGCCATTATCCTGCACCACAAACTTGCAGGCTAGCTGTGCGAGTGAAAGGAATTATAAGCAAAATGCCCACACTGTATGAAAATCACCTACATATCTATTAATTTCTGACTGCACATTGCCACACATCATCCTCTGAGTATTTTTTCCTGCTAAATGTGAAGTATTCCCCTATGTGCTTCAGCTTTATTTGATCAGGGTAGAGCATGTAGTCAGCAGATGTGGGAAAATAATCTCTTTGAAAAGGGCAACGAAAACAAAGACGATGCAGAGGTTTAGGTTAAAATCTTGTGCAAACTGATGACAAGTCACACTGAGTGGAACCAGGATGTAACAGCTCCATCCTATGTACTCAGAACTAAGCTCCACTGTGTTTAACAGGATTTAGCGACAGACAGAAGTTTCAGATTGCTTTTCTATTTATTCTTATTTAGGCATAAGTCCTATTCCGTTGTGCACAAGACTGAACTGCACAGTTACCCTGCTTAAACGTCTTCCTAAATAAATGTGATCTAACCAGTGTCTGAAAGAGGAGTACATGGGGTGAGGGGAGGAATTTCAAAAGACAAGAAAAAATAATTTGCAATAGCTAAGCCAGACTCCACTATATCTGCCTGAAAAGAAGTGGAGAAAACTTTGCACCCAATACCCAACCATAGCTTGGGGGAAAAAAAACATTTTTTCACTCCTAACTCCATGTTCCTCCAGTCAATGGCTATAACATGTAGGAGATTTTGGGAGTTTTAGCAACTTGGGCAAAAGGATAAACCCAGCCTATTTTGGGAATTGGCCAAACAGTTAGATTTCAGACCAAGTGCAGCCAAAGTGTTCCATGTTGCAGAAATTGCAGTGAGCCACCAACTTTTTTAGACAGTGGCAAAAATACTTTCAAGGTTTCCCTGCTGTCAGAAATACAATATAAATGACTAAAAATGCAATAAACTTCCCATCATTTTACTTCCCATGTTAGCTTCCCAGACCGTTAATCTTGAAATACTATCAGGTGTGTTTTTTTTTTAACTTCATTTCCTTTTCAACAGGAATTTTAGAAGATTAAACTTTTTCTAACAGAGATAGATTATCCTGGTATTAATAGTAGTGCAGGGAACAGGATAAATGATTTTCAGCAGTTGGTTACAAGTTTTAAAAATTTTATAGTTAATGAACAGCAATACTGGAAACTAAAACTTGATTTAGTATTTTTTTTTGCCCAGATAGGCATCAGTCTATTATTTCAAGCACAGATAACATTCCTTATATAGCCCCAATTTTCCCCACTGCATTTTCTTCATTTTCTTTTTGCTTCTTCTGCAAAGCAGCTGCTTAGTATAAAATGGGTTTTGGAGGAACAATTCAGCATTCAAATCGGAGACTGTATTTTATGGTAAACAGGATGAACATTTAATAAATGTATTTGGGTCCCAAGAAATACCTTTCAATATTCTCTTCTGATCTATCTCCCAAGCCCTCTTATCAGTAACTGAGGGAAATACATATATCATTGCAGGAATATAAAGACTGAGGTAGCGTCTGGACAACAATTCACAATTTGAAGATTAATGGCGAACCCTATACATTTCCTATGGCTGAAAGTATTTTGTTAGAGGAATACTACTACAGCTTCAGAATTACTGATGGGAGTGGGTTTGGAGCAAAAGCAAAGTGTGCTGCTTATACACCACACCATGGTGCTTAAAACACTCACTGGGTGGTTTAAAATTTAATTATGCAGGGTACACATTTTCCTCCACCCCAATGACTGGATATTCAATTTACTAAACTTGGAAGGATGAAAGGCTGAGTGAACCTCGAGTCAGTTACCTGGGATTGAACCCAGGTTGTGAGCAGAGTTTGGTCTGCAGTACTGCAGTTTAACCACGAGGCTCTTCCACCATGCACCAGGAGGGCTTCAATAAAACAATTAGGCTGGAATGATATCCCATTATGTTAACAATATTTGGGAGTGTAGCAGCATGGGAGGGAGCTTGTCCCAGTACCTACTGTCTTATGCATAATTTATTTTGTTTTCCAAATAATAATAACAATAATAATAATTTGAGTCACAAATCAGCTATAACTAGTGTCTGGCGCTACTGTTTCCTCATTTCAGAACTGTGAACACATGTTGTGAGTGTTTTATGGCAATTTAAAAAAACATGCATAAACACATTTACTTAATATTCCAATTTTATCCCCAAACTAGGGCTCAAGGGGCATGCAGGCTATTGGATTATGCAGGCTATTGGATTGTATTTTTAAAAACCAACAGATATTTCCCATCCATGCAGTATCCAGTTAATTACCAAAAATCAGCCTGCATAAAATGTCTTTTCCTGCTCTCAGAAGGACAGCAAGGAGACCAAACTAGCCTCTGTTGGAAGGAAGTTCCATAGTTGGAGAGCAAGTCATTTCTCAAATATGTAGCAGTCAAGATGGTCTAGAGAGGATAATGTGCTCACTACCATTCACACTTGTTGAAAAACAGCCATTACAATTGCTTTGTATTTGAGAGAGAAGGAGTCAACTGATAAAAAATGAGCTTCTGGGATTTTCCCCTGTTTGCTCTCACTTTGTGAATAGTCATGAGCACAAGAGGGTGTCCTGTAGACCATCTTTACTGCTGCTATTGAGGTTGTCCAGGTTGCCTTTTGCTATGTAAAGCTTAGCATCCTATTTCCTATCAGCAACAGGGACACAATATTGTTGTGCAGCAATATCAGGCCATTTCCTGGCATTTTGAATTCTGAGTAGAATTTCTTTTGTATTTGGAATACAGGTGCTTTGAAGAATTGAATAAAATATTTGGCCCACTTTCCTGAAGAAAAGAAAGAAAACAAGGAAAACAAAAAACAAAAAAGAAACATCCCACGTTTATAAACTGGAGGGTTTTTTTAAAAAAAAAATTGAATCTAATTGACTTTTCACTGTAGTTCCTTCTTCTGGGAAGAGCAGCAGCAGCAAGAACAACAACAACAGAACTTTCCACAGATCAGTGGAGTGAAGAAGACTTTTCTCAGTACAGACACAATAAATTAAACACTCATTAAGGACCAGCAGGTTACAAGTGTACAATAATGTGCTACATAAAAATAATAGCTCAATATGGGCTCACGACATAAACATGTAAACTGAAATTTAATAGGATTATTTTAATGAAAACAGCTGCAAAAATGTTTTTGTGATGTTTTTTATTTCTGTTTTGTTGGCTAAATGGGTTTCTGAAAAATAAGATACAATACTGTAAAAGTTTATATTATTATTTAAGTCTTCAGATCAATACTACATTATAGCACAAGCCTGATTCATGCAGTTGTGTGTACCTTCTCCGGAGGTATTTTATCCAGAATGAGTGTTATACACAAACACTGTCACATGCCACACTAGGTATGGGGACTATAAAATATTATTAGTGCTGACAAATGTATTTCAAATACCCCTTTCTACTTAAAATTATAGGTGCTATAATTCCCTATAAGGTAGGAAATTACATCAGAAAGATGGGAACTGGGCCTCTTTACTCAGAGTTGAATTGTAGTAGCAACTATGGCTAGGGCTAGATTCAGAGAACAGCATTACTGAGTTTCTGCTGATGCCCAGATCCTAGTAAGGGGTCCATTGCTTATGCCTGGAGCTTTCTCATCCTGCTGGACTGCTCTTCATCACTCCTGCGTGTTCACAGGCCCTCTCCAAGTGAACAAACAATGAGAAAAGAAGTGGCTTCTGCAGGCAGAGTAGTCTGATCAAAACAACGTGCTCCCACAGACTGAGAAGCAAATGGTGGACAGGGCTAGATCAGTTATTACTCCAACTAAAGTAAACCCCTTTGCTAGAGAATTGTTGCTGTTATAGGCTGTCATTTCACCTCCAACTTATGAGGATCCTATGGATGCATGACTTCCAAAATGTCATTCCATTCAGTCCTTGCAAACTCAAAGCTATGGCTTCTTTTATGGAATCATTCCAGCTTTTCCCAGCATTTTTTACTTTTCCAGTAAGTTGTATCTTCTAACAACGTCCCCAGAGTTAGGACACCCTCTGCTTTGTCATTTGTATGTCTAGAAGAACTTCAGGCTTGATTTGATCTGTAAACCAATTTTTGTCTTTCTGGCAGTTCTTGGTATCTTTAAAGCTCTCCGTCCCCCCCCCCATCAGCTTTATCATGCCAGTCATTATCCTTCTTTAAAGTAGTGAATTACTCACTGAGCCACTGGCTTGTATTTAACCCTCTTAAAATCCTAATGGCTGATGCCTGTTGTTATTTAAGATTGTTGAATGACTCCTTCATTTAAAAGTTTTACAATGAGTTACAAATTAATAAGCCTATTAGACACTGACTGAAAAAGTGGGTCTCATCCTTTAATACAAAGATATCCATGCTTCCACTTGGAAAGAGTAGGGTTATTACAGCTGGGTGATAATAGGGAAGCCAACAATACCTTGAAGAATGTGCTGTATTTTTTCTGGTTTATGTTTTCTTTCTTTGTCTTCATTACACTTTCTCATGAACAAGCTGCTGGCTGGAACCAGTTGTAGTAATAATGGGAACATACTTTTAATGGCAAGTATTTCCACCATGGTCTAAGCTGTTGGTCTCTCTGGTTTTGCCACAGTTAATTGGAGGCTTCTGGTGACATGGTATCTCCTATATCTCCACTGTGTTCTTTCACATACCATTTTTTTGCCCACAGTAGGTATCATTCCCCCCCCTTCCTTCTATCAGCAACTGCGGAAAAAGAGAGGCATATGAAGCTTCACATATTTCATTCTCACAGGTGAGAATGAAAATGCCAAAAGTTTTCTCCCTGCTCAGTGAGATTAGAAGAGTTTGTGTGTATTTTTAAAAGGATATTTTTTAAATATAGAAGTGTTTCTAATGCTATATATATTACAGAACTCTTTATTTGTTTTTTGTTTTTTTGTTTTTTGCTAATTTTGGGAGGGATTTTTTTGAAAAGAAGTTACTTATCTTTTCACTATGAGGTAGATAAAAAAATCTCATACTCTATAACACATTTTTCAATTGGTGGTGGGATCTCAATGTATTGAGACATCATTTTCCTTCGAGGAGCAGACCACTTGAATCTACATGTTAAATCCATAGATTTTATTACAAAATCCTCTTATTATATCTATGTTATGTACTGTCAAGTCACATCTGAGTTATGGTGAAAATAGAGGGGTTTTCGAGATATATGAGATGTTCAAGGAGTAGTTTACCATTGTTACCTCCAGTGAGTTTCTGTAGCTGAGTGGGCATTTGAATCCAGATCTCCTGAGACCTTGTTTGACACTCTATCCACTGTATCAGATTATTTATTATAATTATTTATTATTTATTTAATTTGTATACTGCCCATCTGGCCAGAAGGTGACTCAGAGCAATTCGTAGCAAGATAATACAATAATAACAACCTTAAATAACAAGTACATTGTCATCACAATATTATAAAAATAAGCAATAACCATTGAAATAAGCATCATTAATTCTTATGGCATCTGTAATGGAAAAAGAACACAAGAGAAGGCAGTTCCTGGATGTGTTCCTGGGCAGGAGTTAGGACATAATCTTCAGAGAGACTGGGGTAGAACATGTATCTGATTAGAACTCTGTTAAAGATACTTCAGAATGTGACCCATTGTAGTGGGACCTGCAAATATATGTTTCACAGTGGAATGCTGCTCTTAAGACTTCCAGGTAACCATGCTGTTTTCCAGTATACTCCATTCTGTCACTCAACCTAGCATTAGCATTCCATGCCTGCTTATTGAGCATGCTAATTGTCAATTAGGGTTTTCCAATCCCTAAGTAGATTTCCTTTCTTGTAAGTATTTCATCCAGTTCTGATGATACCACCCACGTGTGACTGGAGGACACCAGTGAAAGACCCTCAGGTAATAAATTGGTAGAAGTATATGAGTAAACTCACTGGGAGCTGCAGTCAGTTGGTGCCACCCTGATTCAGTGGACTGGAATCACATTTTCCCCTTCAAAACAAGACATGGCCACCATATATATAAATACAAGTACACAATACAGATCTATAGGACTCTGTGGTGCTAATTGTTGGAATTTTATATGCAGCCTGACATGCCACGTGTGGTTTGTGTGACTGGGGGGGACTTTTCTGGGCTGGGGCCATTGCCTGTCTATCCAGCACTATTTGTCCTTTCTAGCCTTTGCTTTCAAAGACAACTCCGCCCGTCTGCTGAATGTTTTTTTTTCTTCCATTATGTTTTTTAGAAGCAATCAGTTGCTTTGCTTGCTGTTGATCTATTCATTTGGTTGCTAAGTATATGTGCAGTAAAGAAAGCAGCATGTACAAGTCTGTAATATTAAGCAATTGTAAATAAAGGCTTTTTATTCTTTCTCCTAAAAATGTCTCAGGGTGAGTTACTGAAACCAGTTAATGAGAAAGGGGAGGACTCTGATGAACTTATAGCTATTTTTCCCCTGTGGATCTCTGTCCTTCTGCTGTGTGACAAAGAAACTTTACCAGAAATTCAAAATTCTGCAACCACTGAGGTCATTTTTGAGGTATTTTCTGTGAATTGCTCTCCCGCCACAGTGACAATCGTGACAAGTGCAGGACCTTCTTAGTAGCAGCATGCTCAATGGTGAAATATTCTCTTCATGAAGTCTTGCCCAGAGCCTTAATATCACTCTGCTGCCAGCCAAATATCTATTGTTCTCCTAGGCATGTAATCTGCAAGTTTCATTTCTGGTGATTTGTTTTTATAGTATTCAATCATATTCAATTCTCCTCTTCTTCTACTTGGAATTATTATTATTTTTTTTAAAGTATCACGTATTCTATTTTATTACTAGGGTTCGGTTTGGTTTTTTTTTTTTACATTGTGAAGGTTTATTTGAAGAATGGGATACTAGTACTTAAAATAAACAAATAGAAAATTATTCTGGACAGATACCAAATTAAATAATTTTTGCAGAAAGCATCAGAGACAAATATTCTTCCTTGTCCTCTTCCACCCACTTGCAGCCTACCTTGCAAAGGATCTCCACCTGATTCTTTGCATGTTGGAGGTGGGGAGAAGTGCAGCTTTACTCTTATTGGTTTCAACGATAGCTGCATACTAGACAATATGCCTCTCAGAGACTTGTAGCTAAAATAGATGTTGAGTTACTAAAAATAGTGTTTCTGCACACACAAAAAGCAACCTCGCAAGAGAAAGTTTCTCTTTCCTCTGTCACCAGAATAGCTATGCCTCTGTCATCACATGTGTCAGAAGAGAGACATAACACAGCACTTGCTGGTCCGACAAAGATCAACAAAGCCGCCATTTGCAGAATGTCACCCCTTTCACATTATATAAACTTTGCAGTGAATCTGATGCCTTCCCCATTTGTTAATTCCTTTTTCTTTCTCCCAAAACTGTCTTTTCTGTTGTAAGAGGAATCATGCGCGACTGTTTTATAGTTCCTCAGAACAAGTCCAGAAAAGGTACACTGGGAAGAATGAAATCATCTCCCAACAAGAAGGAAGATTGGGAAAATGTTATTATTAAAACTAATTTGTTAACATGAATTTTTATTTTAATGCAGAAATCGATTAATGATAATCATCCTGGGGTGAAGTTACAAAATTAGTCCATTGTGCTAATTGTTAATAATTCATTATTAAGCTTTTTTTAAAAAAAGATACAAAAAAAAAGTCCCTGCAGTCCTCCAGAAGGAAATTAAAGATCTTGAACAGTAAACTGCATTAACAATTACTTGCTGTTCAACCATTTCAACAATTTTTATATTTGGTTAAAATTTTTAATAGATTAGATAATGAATTATATTAAAAAAA